GCGCTGCAGAACTTGAGCCAGGAGACTTGCTCGGTACTGCTGCCGCCCCGCTGATGCGCGTCCCGGTAGAGCATTTAGAGCAACAGTTTAGTGACGAAGCTGACACTTCATGTTCGGTGCCTGGACCTATTTTGGGTTCTACCGAGGATATCGCGGACAGGACCGTCGATCCGCAGGTGCGTTGCCACGATCCCTTCGTGCACAACCTACGATCCACCGATCCTCCTGTGCCGGACCCAGGGAAATCACCCCCTGCGGCCCCTGCCCCCGCTCACACTTCGCCCTCGCCGCCACCACAGCATGTGATGGAGCGGTTGAGCGCTGAACAGCGAGTTAGCTTTGAGTCATTGTGGAATCGCTTGCCGCCTCACCTGAAGTTGGTTAAGTTTGATTTACACGGTCCTGGTTGGTCACCAGAGGTCATCACAGAACTTGGTGATCTTTTGCATGATTTCCAAGACGTGTTTTCCACATCCTCGACGGATTTAGGGTCCTGTTCCCTGATGCCGTTTGAGATCAAAGTACCTCCGGATTGTCCCCCGGTGACGTCCAAACCGTACCGTATGAATCCTTTGGTTGCGAAGCAAGTCGATGCCATTTTGGACCAGTATCTAGCTGCTGGCCTAATTCAGCACTCGACCTCTCCTTATTCCAGCCCCATCGTGGTTATACCAAAGAAGTCTGGTGGAATACGCATCACGGTTAACTACCGAAAGTTGAACCATATCAGCAGCTTTGGTCAACTTCCCATCCCCCGAGTCGACGAGATTCTAACGAAACTCAACAGAGGTTCGATTTTCTCGTTATTCGATTTCACGGGTTCTTTCCACCAGATCACTGTCCACAAGGACACTATCCCCCTTACGGCTTTTGCGACCCCCACTCGTTTGTTCGAATGGCTCCGCATGCCGATGGGTGCTAGCCAATCCGCAGGCCACTTTGTAAAAGTGATTAACGAAGTAATCAAAGGACTCGATGGAGTCGAGGCATACCTCGATGACGTCGTTGTTTTTGACGAAGGCCCACTGCAGCATGTCCGTAATATGCGCACGCTCTTCGAACGGTTGAGAAAGTACGACCTCAAACTTTCTCCCTCGAAAGCCACCATCGGTACCACCAAGGCTGACTTCTTGGGGCACACCATATCTTCGAAAGGTGTCCTCCCCAACGCCCGTAAAGTAGCCGCCCTGGCAGGTATGCCCATGCCGACGACCGTCAAGCAACTCAGGTCACTCATGGGTGGTCTGAGCTACTACCGACGTTTCCTCAGAGACATGGCCAAGCGTGTGAAGTCCATTACGCACTTGCTCAAAAAAGGTGTTCCCTTCGCTTTCACGAGCGACATGGAAACAACTGTTCGCAGCTTACTGGCTGAGCTCGCGAAACCGCCCATTTTAGTGTTTCCTGATTGGGACGCTATTGCGGACGGTACACGCCCTTTACGTCTTTGCTGTGACGCCAGCTCCGACGGTCTCGGCGCCGCGCTGGAGCAAGAGCAGAAAGACGGCTCGGTACGGCCGATCGTTTTCATCAGCAGAGCCACGCTCGACGCTGAACGCAACTGGACCGCTCTCGATCTCGAAGCAGGAGCCGTTGTATGGGCGATCAAGCGTCTCCGCGAATACCTTCGTGGCACACACTTCCGCATCTTTTCCGACAATAAGGCGCTGGAAAGTTTGTCAAAAATCAGCGAGCACAACCCACGCGTCCAACGCTGGATTGAGTTCCTTGAAGCATACAGCTACACGTTGGAGTACCGACGAGGTGCCTCCAACGGAAACGCTGACATGCTGTCTCGTCTGCCGATTGAGCCTACTGCCGCCGACATCAACGGTAACAGTCGTTTGACGTCCCCAGAAGACGTTGGTGTGTATCTGATCCGAGCGACAGGTCACGCACCACCCGGACAAACCACGCCTGGCGTTGGTTTGGGTGGGCTGGCGCCCCCGAGCGAGAACGCCGCTTTGGGTGGGCTACCCCTCACTTCCGATGATTTTGCGGATTTTCGCAAACACGGGCCTCGAAGGAGGATTGACGATCTTGATGCTCCTGCAGGAGAATTCGTCGCTCGTGTTTTTCCGTACGTCAATGCGCGAGGACCTTTGCGACACCTTGCGGACGATCGTGCATTGTCTTGCACCGACCACTCCGTATTTGCGGTGCCTGAGGTTACTTCCGCTGCAACCCAGAAAATACAGGGCGCTGTGCCGGCACTCCGGTCTTCAGCTTCTCCTGTTGTGTCTCCGATTAGACCATTGTATAGGGACGCCGCCACGGTTTACGGACCGTCTGCGCGACCCCACACGGATACAGCTGCATTTGCGCTCCCTGTCCACGACACACAGACCGCCGACGATAACTCTCGGTTGCCCCCTGTCGTGTCTCATGCGACCGCAACTGTCGACGCCGGCTCCCACTCTGATCGTTTGGATGCCGCCGACTCATTGCCGCCGCCTTCGACCTCTCGGTTGCAACCGCATCGTATTGATCCGTCGGAACTGATCTCTACTCGTACGCGTCGCCGAACCGCGGCTGCTGCGGGTCAGCCTCAACCCGATGTAAACTACGGTTTCGGTCCTGATTTGTCGATCCCCCCACACGTTCCGCGTGCAGGCGCTTCTCGTCGTCAAACACGAGTGACACCAGCTGCCACCACGCCTGAGCCTGCTGTCGAACCTGTCCCAACGGTGCCTATAGCACCGCCGGAGACGGTTACCGACGCCCCTACGGGTCCTCTGTTGGGTTTGTCACAACCGGCTGCTGCAGCTGGTAAGGCAACGCCCGCAGTGGATTCCATGGTCCTCAATCCTGCAGAGTTAGAATTCCGTCAGTCCGTCGAACGCTACACGCGTGCCGATTGGGCGCGGGAACAGCAGAAAGAGCCGGTGTGTGAAGCCACCATCCGCTACATTCTCCTCAAACGCCCTCAGAGTCTACCTGTCGATTTCTTTGCCAGAGTGTCATATCACTCCAGGCATAGACCCTCGTTGGAGGATATTCGAGAGCTTGCAGATAAAGGACGCCTCGTCACTGACGATGGCCTTTGCCTCTTGGTACGAAAGAATACCAAGCCCCCGGTCTCTTCTAACCGTCCCGGAGGACGAGCTGCACGTCTGTTGAATGACGAACCCACTCGTATTTACGTGCCCATGTTAATGCGACCTTGGGTCATGCAAGCTTGTCATGCCAACGCCCTCTGCCACCTTGGTACCGCTCGCACGCTCAGCTTGCTTGAGAGGTTTTACTGGTGGATTGGGATGAGTATCAGTACTCGTTGGTGGATTCGGCGATGTTTGAAATGTCAGGCCCGCAAAACTGCGCGCCAGACTATTCGCTGGCCGATTCTCACGATCCCTCTGCCTTCGGCACCAGGGGTCGCGATTAGCGTCGACTATTTTGGTCCGCTTCCCACAACTCCGCGAGGTTTCTCGTATATTTTGCTAGTCACTGACCGTTTCAGTCGGAGAGCCAATATGTACGCAGTGACTGACGCCGAGTTCACCGCTGAAGGTACAGCTGACGTCCTTGTCAATAAATACATGCCTGTTTGGGGATGCCCCCTCAGCATTCTTTCTGACAACGGATTGCAGTTTTGCTCCAAACTGTCGGTTGCCATCCTAAAATTGCTACGCGTCCGAAAAATTACGACGAGCGCGTACCACCCTAGCGGCAACGGAGGAGTTGAGCGCGCGAACCACACCATGGCCCAGATGCTGGCAATGGTTGTGAACGAACGACAAGATGATTGGGACATTCATCTCCCTCATGTTGAATTCGCGTACAACAACTCCGTTAGCGCTGCCACAGGATTGGCGCCCAATGAGGTGCATATGGCGCGCCTTCCCAGGTTTCCACTGACCGTTTTTGACAACATTTACGCTCGTGGTCACCAGTCGCTTGCCCGCGATCAGCTCGAGTATTGCAACCTTGCCGCCGATCGGCAACGGCGCTCCTACGAGCTAGTGCGTGAACAACACGAACTCACAGTTTCCCGTATGGAAAGACGGAACTCGAAACTGTCTGATGCCTTACACAAACTACCCGTTTACGCTACCGGTGGTTGGGTGTGGGTCTACAACCATTTGGCTACCATCCGCCAAGGTGCCAAACTCACTTCCAAGGCCCGCGCAGACGCTGACTCCCAGGTACTCAAGAAGAAGCTGTCCTTGAATTGGGCAGGTCCTTTTAAAATCCTAGCAGTCGGTCCTTGCAACAAGGCTCCCGATGGCAGCCCGATGGCTGACAAGCTCCTGTTTTTGGATCTTCCCTCCGATATGCCCGGAGTGGATGCCAAGCGCCGAGTTTCTGTCGCTCGTTGCAAACCGTGTGCGAACCCGCACGATAGTGACGACATGCCTCGGTTCTTGCCTGCAGGCCTCACGCAGTATGTTCTCAACAACTTCACGACGAAGTCTCCGCCGTACCATGTTACCGCGGACGATGTTTCGGCGCCTGTCCGCAGGCTCGAGGTTGAGAAAATCACGGGACACCAGTCGGTTCGAGGACGTGGCGGCGTTATCGCAGTCATGTACGAGACCCACTGGAAAGGTCTTCTGCGGCCCTCGTGGGAACGAGAAATGGACCTCCAACACTCCCGAAAACAGATTCTTCTGTATTGGGCTGGTACACCCGACCAACACCGGCAGACTAACCGTCTGTATCGTCGCATGCGCATTGGCCCAGCGGAACGTGAACTGTCTCGCATGAAAGGCGAGCGGTCCTCGTCGCCCGGGTACGAATATGTTCCCCGCGATGTTTGGGCCCGCCGTTTTCGCAACACCGTGCTGCCTGTTGGCGCACACTTCTGGTACAAGGCTCAAGACGCTCTATGGTGGCTAGGGAAAATCTCCGGACATACTCCAACTACAAACGTCTTCGTCGTTCGCTTCCTGGATGACCCTGGACCTGTCAAGATCACCCTCTCCCCTTCGCGCTACACGACAGCTTTGGGAGCTGTTTGTGGTTCTTGGTGCCTTCAGCTGCACCGAAGTAGTCCCTTCATGCGAGGTATCTTACGCAATGTAGACGAGTCGCGTGGTACGGCTATAGATGCCTGATAGCACTGTTGCCTTGTTTTCCTTGTTTTATGTGTATGTATATGTATGTGTATATGTTTGTGTGTTACATGTTTGTGTTTATGTATGTTTGTCTGTATGTTTCTAGCTCGCCCTCTCGATCTATTTTCGAGACTGGCTATTGCTTCTGCATGTTTCTAGCTCGCCCTCTCGAATATTTCGAGACTGGCTATTGCTTCTGCATGTTTCTAGCTCGCCCTCTCGAATATTTCGAGACTGGCTATTGCTCCTTTATGCTTTCCGCTCGCCCTCTCAATCTCTTTGAGACTGGCTCTTGCTTTTGTGTTGCGTACTTTCGCTCCCCGTTTGTCACTCCTCGGTCGGTTGTCGAAAGTTTTCGCTCCCCTTTACCTATTTTTCAATGCGACCTAGGTTCGTCATTAATTGCGGTGACACCCAAATTTGGTGCATCATTTAACTCCCCCCCCTATGGTTTGCTTTGCATATTTTATGGTCCAACGTTCCGCCAGTGCTTCTATTGCATGCCACGGCCAACGTGTTCCATCTGGATACTTTCTTTAGCATTTATCTTCCTGCAATTGGCCTTGACGTCCCAGTAGGATTGTTTTCCTCGCCCCACCCCGATCGCAAGCACGTTGTATCGTGACATGCGAACGTTGTTTTTGGCGTTGGTTCCTGTCCTTTTCTTTGGCCGTTGTTTACGTTCCCCGGAAACCCCCTCTTTCCCTGCTTTTCTCGATTTTGGTCGACCCCTAACGGTTTTCCATGTCGTTTGATCCTTTGCAGGCTCGGTTTTCGTTTCTTATTCTTTATGTTTACATTTCAGCACTCGATCGCATCGTAGCCCCCCTTCCCGTAAGGTTCTGGCTTACTTGATTGCGTATTCGATCGGTTCATCCGTACGAGATCGTTTGTGATTTTCTCTTCACGATTTCGTTACTTCGTGTTATGGTCTTTTCGGTTCGGATGTTTTGGATATTTTTCGCACCCATGTGCCTTTTTCCGAATTCATCTACCGACTTTGCCGCTCCGGCTTCTTTGTTTTCTTCTTTCTTGGTTCCGCTTCTTTGGCTTGGTTAACGGAGAGGTGCGGGTGACGGTTTTGAGTTGTCGTATCTTCGATCCATCCCGCAATCCTCTTGATTGACTAGAGTCCCTCCGAGGTTTGCTTCTGTATCTGCATCTACGTCCACTCAGGGTGGGCTATTGTTATGGTATTTGGAGGTAGACAAGTGATCGTGGTTGATCATGGTTATTTGGCGCCGTCGGATGATAAGACGTGACGTCATGCTAGATCAGGGCTTTATGCCGAGACATGTGCCCTTCTGTTCAGTGTGTGCGTACAGGTGATCTATGATCGCGTGTGCGTGGGATATTGTGAGTTGGCTTGGAAAGCGTTAATCAAGAGAAAGAGAACAACGGAAAGCAACAACAACCTGCTACTGTGGTCGGACAAGAGAGTTCCACACAGCTCAAAGGTGATTGATTCTGAAGGAAGGGGTCAAATACCATTACATTCCGCATCATGTTTGGTTGTGCGTATAGGGGGAGCGCGTTAGTGGGCCCCGATCTGCTTTCCCAGCTATTGATAACTGAAACAGTCGTATTTATTAGGGCCGATCAACCCGCATGTTACCCCCAACACCCCAATCCGGTAGGTTAAGCTTAATGTGCACAACCCCTGTGCTTTGCAACTCGCTCCCGCATCCATCTTCCTGTTTTTCAGAAGGTCCTAACGGTGTAAGCACGCCCATTTCTCCGAGCCATGCAAATCGACGCTCGCTGGTGGTGTGGTGTGTGTGTGTGTGTGTGTGTGTTTGTGTGTTAACATCTTCATGTACATCGTTTGACGAAATATAAAAAAAATCCGTTTATCTTCACCTCCGGTCCACGTTTAGCTAAGGTTTGGGCCCTTTAAGGTGTAAGTCACATGCTCCTGTTGTTATCTCCCGTGGCGGGTGTCTCCCTCCACCCTGCTCGTCCTAACCCTAACCACAGAACACGCTTCGTTTTTGCATCGACAAGCCAGTGAACTTGCTCGAGAACATGTACACCGTGATGCCTCTAAACGCAAAGAAGGACCCCCACCCCATCCCCTATGTAGCAACCTTTAGTGATTACAATCGTCCCGTTTCGTCTATTCTGTTTATATCTCTCCTTTGAACGGCCCAGACATGAAGCAATTACAGCCGCCCAGGAGCACCCTCGGGCACGTGCGTCACTCTAGGGATTACGAGGGCAGCGGGCTAGACGGTGCTAGAGACACGAAGTCGGTAGAGGAAGAGGAACAGGGGGATGAGGAGGAGGAGGAGGAGGAGGAGGAGGAGGAGGAGGAAGAGGAAGAGGATGAGGACGACGACTTCTGCAACGAGCTTTTCGTCGCCAACAGCCGGGGTAGGCCCGGGAGGCCTCCTGTTGGCCGCAAACCTGCGGCGAGGACGGCGCAACAGGAGTCAGATACGTTGGGTTGGGACTCGGACGTTGAGATCATGCCGGAGCGTGCCACAAAGACGAGCCGAGCGGGCAGACCGCTAAAACCCTCTGCCCGTCGTCGTCCGTCGAGTCTGTGGAGGTGTCGGACGCCACAGGCAAGCCGGCAGGAAGGCGGCCGGCGAAGAGCAAGCCCGCAACGGTGAGGGGCCCATCCGCCTCGGCGAAGAAGAATGGCGGCGGTGCGCCTGGTAAGAGTAAGGCCGGTTCATCGAAGGCGCCTGCTTCGGTGAAGATAAACCGGGGGGGGGCGCCTGTTAAGCGGAAGGCCGCAGCTGGTTCGACTTCGGCTGCGAAAGGCAAGGGCAAAAAGGGCAAGCCAGTTCCTCGTGCGAAGGAAACAGAGGCTGAGAAGGATGCCAGGGAGAAGGCCATGGAGGTTCTGTTGGCCGAGAAAGACAAGAAGTGGGACGCACTCTACAATAGTCGTACGAAGAAGCAGAGCAGGCAAGGCGAGCGTGCGGACGTGAGGAAGGCAAACGACGACGCATTGCAGGTGATGATAGGGTTAGCTCAAGAAGTCTGGTGGTTCGGTTGCCTGCTTCATAAGTGATTCCCGTTTGCGGCCCTGCCTCCTAAGGGTGACATGTCATGCCAAACCGCCTGCTCAAGTTTAAGTCCATAACGTTGAGTAGTACAACATCCCTTACGGTGGGCCTGCCTGTCTCTCTCTGCCGTTTAGTCGGTACATGCTTCCTAAGTACACGAGGACGTCGAATTGTTTTCGTCTTATCCTGTGCTCTATTTTTACGCCCCTACCTTCCAACTTCCATCCACCAGGCCGAACTAGCGAAGCACCTTCCCTCTAAGACGCCCAATACCGGAGGGCCGAGTACTGCTGTGCCGGGTGACGGCACGAAAATGCGGCCCGCGCACGGGTTAGACCAGCATGAAGGGGGCGTCAACAGCCAATCGGCCACACTCGGGCCTAACGGCGCCACGGAGACTCCCCCTCTCTCTCCAGGGCGGCAGGGACGTTCGTCTACCTACAGGGAGAGGTCGGACAGTCGCTCCGGAAGGCGGGGAGGCACGAGCACATACCGGTCGCGGTCACCCGACGGCGACCGTGGACGCCACCGTAGCGGGAGCAACGGGAGGGGCCGTTACCGTAGCCCAGGCTCGAGCAGGGGCCGTCACGGCAGTCGCCCGAGGGACGGCGGCGGCAGGAGAAAGGGGGTTTCCAGGCGCTACTCGCGGTCGCGTTCTCGATCGAACCGTAGGCACTACGCCGGTCGCTACGAAGACGACGAAAGGCGCTATCAGGGAAGGTACGAATATTCCCGGTACTCCCGTTCGCGCTCAGGATCCAGGCACTCACGGATCAACGGAAGCAGGAGGGACAGTCGTCATCGGCCGCACCACCGCCAACGCTCTTACAGTCGCCCGCGCTCCTACCGCCATCCGTCCTCCTACGGTCACAACGAGTGGTACAGTAGGGAGCGCTCGCCAAGCCGACAGCGCCGCAGCCTGAAGGACACTCCAAGAGACACCCGCGGACGTCACAGGAGTAGCGATCGCGACGGCGGCGGTGGCGCGGGTGGGTATCCTGCCCGGTCGCCCTCGGGAGATAGCCGTCAGCACAGCCCACGACAGGGACGATCCCGGTCGGAATCCCGCCTGAAGGACATGGGCAGCTCAACGGGCAGTGGGGCTAGGCAGCAATCCACGGACGCTGCGACGGACCCCAAGGGCGATGTCTTCGAGGGTGGTGAGTACACGAGTTACCGTAGTCTGTTTGTCGGATGTTGAAGATGGGTTTTCGTTTCAGTTTTCTGCGTGTCTTCGATCTGCGGTCTGAACGCCCCTACGGATTTCCTCGAAATTTCAAACTCGTAGTTTGCCGCGGCTCTGTGTTGTAGGTAGTCGTTGATGCCGACCCTGACGACCCACTTCTGCGGACCTTTGTATTTATTGAAGCTCACCAATCCACACCTTGTTAGATGCCTAATTTGTCAAACGATAATGCTCACCCCGACGGCTTGGTTCCGCAGACGAGCCCTTGGCAAAGCTTCGGGCGGCGAAGCTTGAGTTCGAGATGAGCCGGACTGTGGGAGGACTGCGCCGGGTTGTCAGGGCGTACCGCGAATGCAGCAGAACCCGCACCGGCAAGAAGCTGCATGACCGGCTCAAGTATCTCAATGCTGCAGGCATTGCGTACACGACGATGACAAGGTTCGATTTTTGCCATGTTTCCTGTATTCGTTCAGCGTTTTGGTCGAACACGTTATGTATCTACTGTAGACTGCTGAGTGTTCGGTTGCGTTGCTTCGAACACACGCAGGTGTAGCAATGTAACAACCATCGACGGCGTGGTCGTGTAGTTTTAAGTCCACCCTGTTGTCGTATTTTAAACTGTTACCGTACTCGACCACCTTAAACATGTCATGGGTTAAGCGCTTACGCCCATTGCGGCCCGCAATGTGTACAGGTGGTTGAAAGAGTTCGCCGCGTTCGAGGGATACGACAACGACCATCCCATCAAAGCCGCTAGGAAGGGTTAGCCACACATTTAGTAGAGCGAATGCACAAGGGCTACGACACCCTTGCCGTGGAAGTGCTGGGACGGTCAACGTGTTCTCCGTGCCTCTGGCAGACTCTCGTCTCCTTGTGGCATTTCTAGTGTGGCCGTATTTATCTCTTGGGAGTTATTCGCTACGCAAATGTGGTTTGGATGCTACCCAGGTTTGTTTGTGGCTCGTAATAGCCGTGGACGGACGTCAATAAGAGGCGCATCCGACACGTCATTGTTGGGAACGGCCTGGCGCGCAGGAAGTGTTGAGTTTGCTGAGTATCCTCGGCGTTGGGCAATGGGGCGTTCGAAGCGCTTGAGTTTACAGCTTATTGGTCTCACCGTGAAGTATGGGATAATCAAAGTCGCCTCGTCGTGCGCTAGTTTGGATTGCGGTAAATCAGTGAGTTCGTACGTACGTCTTCTCTATGTTATGTGAACTTTTTCTTTTTCCGTACGCTCTCGTCGGGTTGATTCCCCACATTAGATTGGCTAGTGGCTGTCGCGTTTGTCGATGTTCCTTTGTGGTGGTTGCACGGGATAATGAACGACATTCGGTTGACCTGTGCGTTTGGTATAATCTCCAGCCTGCGGGTTTTGGTGGGGAGGGGTTTAGCATAATCGCATATATTGTTCCTAGGGTTCTGCCCCCATCTGGAAGCAGGTGTTGGTCGTTGTTCTCGTTTTTTTGTTTATTTTGTTTTGTTTGTCTGTGTCCATGACGACTCCAAGGGAGGACGCTGGTTGCAACACTTGTCCCGTATCGAAGGAAGTAGTTTTGTTTGTCATTGGCCTAGCCCAGATAACAATGTTTTGTGGCTGTCGCAATTGTCCATGTTCGGTTTTAGAGGTTGCACGGGAGAATGAACCTATTGCCGTTGACATATGCGTTTGGTAGAACGTCCGGCTTCCGACTTTGGGCAGAGGAGGGGTAGCACAATGGTATACCTTGTTCCAAGGGTTCTTCCCCCATCTGGAAGCAGATGTTGTTGGTTGTTCTTTTTGTTTGTTTGTCTCCACGACTCGGAGGGAGGAAGCTGGTCGGGAGGACGCTGGTTGTAACAAGTGTCCCGTATCGAAGGGAGGTTTATTATCTTATTTTCGTACATCCCAGTGGTGATCGCGTCTTGTTCGGTCATATGTTGTTGGCCAACGAAGCAAGTGTTTTAGTTTTCGACAAGGGAAGGCGTGAGGTCCATAGACACTTGTTATCCCGGGTTCGCTGGTGCTCTTTCCCACTGATGCAGCATTTAGATGGCTGGAGATTTGTCTTGTTCGACAAGCTATGTATTGAAGAAGTTCCAGCTGTTGACGAAGATCGGATGTAGTGGTACTCCGTAGGGGGTGGATTATCGCATTGGTCATTTCGTATGGTTCCGGACCGAGTGGCTTGGGTGGGTTACGGATTGTATTAGATGGAGGCAAGGGGGGTTTCATCCGACTGTCGCGGTTTCCCCTCTACATGAATAGATTGCCGTGTGCCCACGGCTGCTTCCCCAATTGATTTTTTTGACAACAATTGTTTTTGCTGAATGAAGTTCTCGTACAGTCTTATACTCGAACAACAACGCCGGCACCGCATAATATGTACAGGAGTAACACAGAAAGAAGTAGCAGTAGAGTGTGGTATAATATAATGAAAAAGAAACCATGGCACCATTCGTTAATTCATCCACCACGCACGTCGAAAGGACAAGAAGTACGTAAGAAGATATTGCGGTCCGACTGTCGCGGGTTTCCCCTCTACATTACTAACTATGTGGCTGCGTACACAATAAATCGACAAAATATTTGAGAAGGCTGCCATGACACTGTGGTGGTGCTGGTGCCTCGCCCTGGTGATGATGGTACCTGACCAACACAGCAAAGCCCGGTCGCGATAAAATGGAAACGTCCAGCGTTTTATGAATGGCATGAAGTGAAGGGGTGTGTCTCCTTGGTCAACGTAGAGGCTAACATCTCCTTTTTAGTGTTTTATTCTTCATCAAGACGGCCATGTAGAGAAGGTACCCAAAGGACGGTAATGTACGCGTCAGCCTCCCACCACCGCCCACCACCCAATCACCCCACCCCCCCCATCCAGAAAGACACACTTGCAGAAATCTTAACCCGATATCCCCACGCTAAATGTTCAGGATTGGGTGCCATGCGCATGATTCAACTAGGCGAAGAGTCACGAACATGTGGGCGCATCTCGCGGGAATCGCGTACGAGCAATACTCGGGAAAGTCGACAACTACGAACCGGATGCTGTTTACCCTCAGCCGAGTGGCCAGACCCTCGAGATCTACAATCGCCCCTGTGTATTGACTAGAGGAAGGTTTGTTAACGTCTAGTCCCAGCAGATCCACGACTCGGTCCATGTCGTGCGCACACATCAAAATGGCTCGTTTCGCCGGGCCGCTGCCTCTCCGGTTTACGGACCGCATGGTACCAGCTGCCGGCAGGTACAAGTGCTCCCCGTGGACCATCTGGGGATCTACGTGAGAGTGGGTTACACCACCAGTTCTCATGGCGAATGCCGTTACTTCGCTCCCTGACCAGCTTTTTCCCCGCACCGACGTCGTCCCCGTCAGGACGCCCCCTCTCGTGGGGGGTCTATCTGGGTGACACAAGCCCCCCATCCTGGTGTTGCGAACGAGGTCCGAAGCTCCGACGCACTCGATGGTATTGAAGGATAGAACGTCCACCTTATCGTCCTCCTGTACACGGGAGACGATGCATAAACGCAAAACATGGCAGACAACCTGTAGACGATCTAACTTCACCCTAAGCGACAAGTGTTTCGATCTGCAACGCTTTAACCATGCAACGCTTTCACCAGTTACTCTCTCACCCGTTAACCAGCAGCAGAGGACTGAACAACAAAAAAGAAACAACCGTTGTACGTACACTACGATAAAACTCTGAGAGAGAGACACTCACCTCGAAATTCTGAGTAGTCCACGTGGGGTTTGTGCCGAAAGCCTTTTTAAGCTCGTCGCCATCAATCACCCCTTCGTTCCAGCTCTCGACGAATGACGGTGACACACCGAACATCGACGTGCCGTTCCTCCCTCCAAGCCCCCCTATCCTTGTCAGGTTCCTTGCAAGAGCCGATTTGCAAGCGGTTCCCATCACGGACCGGTATGTGTCATCTCCTTCAAAAATAACCGGAAAATGGGCCTTCAAACACGCCTTGAACGCGTGCTCAGTATATTCTAGTCTGTCCGTGCCCTTGCTCCAAAACGCGACGGTAGGGTCGTCTCTTCTACCGGGCACGTAAGGAGGGGCGTTCGCCATGTCAAGGTAACCGCAAAATAAACCGTTGTCGAAACCGTCAGCACCATTACCGAAGCCCTCCGTGCCGTCAATGAGCTCTCCCTTCTCCCATATGTCGACCAGAAACTCGCAGATGTAGTTGTCCAGGCCCCCCTCTTGAGAGCGGAGTATGCGTCGTTTGATGTCGCTACGTCTATTCTCGTTCGGTTGTTCCTTTTGCCTCTGAATCGGGGGATAAAATGCAGGAGGAGTTCAGTTGTGGGGCCCGTGACGTGGATACGTGCGTCTAGTGCTTGGATTCCGCCAGTCGCGACAGCAAGACTGTTGTGGCGACAAAATTGGCGAACCATTCCGATACTTCAGAATCAGAGGGCAGAACTACACGTAGTGGGCAGCGTTCCCCAGCGGCTACGCCAACACCTTACCTGCTGCCTAGTCTGCTGTGCTGCCCAGACACCCATGTTGGCATGGGGTTGGGAGTTCGAACCGACAACACCCAGAGTTCGCGTATCGTGAAACATGGCGACCCCATGCACGGGCGATACACACCACTGGCGTTTGCTTCGACTTCGGGTATCTCTTTGCTTTCCGAACATAGGCGCGAACCTCCTAGCGCCGCTGTCGCACGCGCAATTACTACGAGTGACACCAACAGCGCCTATTCCCACACGCCGGTACTTGGCGTTATTTGAACTACAACTCCGCGAATAGTAGCATGGGTTAAGTATCACCTGTTTAGTGTTTTCGTTGTCTACAGCCCTCGGGTGGGGTCGGCCTCAACTGAAGCCCTCCTCTTTGTTGCCACCCGGGTCACAAAAGGAAGGGTCATCTCTACAGATATATCCTGAACATAAACGTGTCGTGCCACGGAAGTAAGGCCTATTATTAACGACCAATACAGCACGGAAATTATAACGGAATCGTGCTATCTTGCAAATACATGGAGGCGTTTCCCCCCCGATCCGTGAAAGTAGATAGCATTTTTTTTGTTGGGGCTTGCTGCTTTCGCGGATCGTAAAAATTGGACACAAGGGTCGGGCAGGCTCGGGCAGGCGCACCGCGGGAGAAGTAACATCACAGAGAACGCTCGCAAGCCCTGCTAGACTCGCGTCCAGGTCTAATGTGGAGACGGACAAGCGGCAGAAGCCGCGTTCAGTCCGTTCTTGGTCCAAAACGATATAGTGCGTGGTGTTCTCGTCTTCAACTGCTGCTGTTGGTGCTGGAGATTCCTTTCCAACCACAAATAGCAAACACTGCAACAGTAGAAGGACTACAGCAACGGCACGAAGACCTTCAACGCGCTGATTCCTTCGTTTCGGCTATCTATATGATACTCACTTCCAGCGCCGTGCTTCTTAGTGGGTATTGGGTGCTTGGTTGCTGCTCACTAAGGTGTGTCCTAATTCGTCGACCATGTTGCATGTTCTTAGCCAACCGTGGGCGTGCGGCTCGAGTTACGACAAGTGGGGGGATTGGGGTGTTCGCATTCGCTGCCCCTACGAACTACGAATTAGACATACACCAACGGACGCCTTGTCAGAAACGGACACGAGGTTCACCTCTTCCAACCCACACCATAATATGTGAACGGAATGTCGAGAAACCTATCCCGGAGATAAATAAGTTGCTTTTCGAGAAGAGGCCGGTCATCACCCACTCTAAAATAACATGAACCACCAAGCGTGGGGTCACTATATATGAATCATTTCTTTGTAAGGTAATGTTTGCGTAGTCACATGTTTGGAGTCACGAAATGTTGGGTCAAAATCGAATATAGGTCTTGTGAAATTCAGCGACAGAAGCGGAACCTTTGTGACCCTTCCCGCACGGTATACATCTCACTCGTGTTTGCCCTAACCTTCTGAGGGTCAAACGCCGTTGCTCGTAGCCCTTCTGTCCGGTCTCGCCTGTCGTCCCTGGTCTCGTGTCCCGGAGGTTTCGCTTCCGACTCTGCAAGAATGACGCGTGGGTGTGATATTTCGTCAGCGCGTGTCGCACGCACATGCCAGTTCGTCGTACACTCACTATTCTCAGTACTTCTGCCGTCGAACACGTACACCCCAACCCTAGAGCGGGAAGGCTGCCTATGACGCCTGTACCCCGTGTTGCGCGAGGAACGCCCTTGAGCAATTTTAGTAGACCCTGGCGCCAACCGAGGACAATGTACGCGAGTACAAATGCAGTGTAACTTTACAGCAGTCAGCAGTGGAGGATCGACATCATACACATCCGACCCGACCCCAGACCACGGTATGTATCCTGCCTGTGCAATCCGGTGCCACATACTTTTCACGCGCTGGCGGATACTCCTAATGCACACCCGGACGTAACTGTCACCTCGGAGCTTGTAGGGATTGGCCATCACAAGAGAGTCCGAAGACTCCTTCCGCTTAGGTTGCCGTATTGTGTCGACATCCTTGGTAACCGTGTGGTTGTGGGTCAGTGTAGTGGCCCTCTCGGACAGGTAGGGATGTTCTCTTGCTTTGCGTTTGGTGGGCCATCGGATCGCCACCTGATTATACGCATCCACGGTGAAATGGGTGACTCCACTGTACGCCGTTGTTTCTAACGCGCGCACCGAGGCACACTACTTGCCCTCGACGGCTAGTCACTGCCTACAAGTGCTTTCCGTCCACCTAACTCGCTGGTGGAAAATGCGCGGGCCAGCCTCACGAAGTCAGGCTTTGGCCAACCCTACGTCAACGGCCTAACAGATGAAACAAACATCACGGCCACCTTGAATGGACAGCCTATTCGTTGCGATTTTCTCAGGATCTTGGGGACAGTTTTACCTGATAATGGCATTTGTGCGCGGGGCAAGACGCGCGCGGAGGATCGTGTCAGAGGGGCCGCACACAATAACAACGCCAGCTACTTCGATAGGGTCGGGCAGCACGCGGTGGAGAACTCAATGCCCGCTCGTTTCTTGGTACGCAGGGCCGGTACATGTCCCAACCCAGAGCATGAACGAAAAGGCATCATGTTCCCCGCTTTGCCTTGTTATCCCAGGCTGAGATGCCCTACCAACCCGTGGACACCACTCACACTATTTTCCTATGCTCCCCTAACTAGTGCACGACAACGGCATAACAGACGAACACTATGCACAGCAGCAATCCCAAGAACTAATACGTGTGTTCCCCTTGGCGGTTGATGCCCTCACCTCCATCCTTTGCCTTGTGGTCATTCTGTCGATTGCGCATACCGAGCTTACACTTTAGCTCCCGAGACACCCAACGACCATCCTTGCCCTTCCTGGAATCACTGGTGGCCACGTGAACCCCTTCCTCGCGGCATACTTTTTTCACGTTGGCAGTGACCTCGCCCATGTCCATACCCTGCGTAGGAATCGACGCAAGCTTCGCGCGTAACCTTTGGGCATTGTACGTCCAGACTCCATCCTGAGAGGAACGGATGGGGGTTGGTGTCGGGTCAGGGTATGGTGTATGTCTGTATCTATGTAGTTGTGCGCGTGTGTGTATGGGTGTGTATGTGTGTTAGGGCGGGTCTTCACTTTGGGAGGCAGGGGACATACGGGACCGGGAGCTCGGAAGTCCCTGTCCCAAGTTCGATGTATTGTGGCTTCACATACACCACAAACCCAGGGAACACGGAACAGTTGAGCGCACGCGCACGGGGCTCGCAGGCACTCAAAGGCAACAGATACAACAATTCGACGCACAAAGATTAGTGGGGGGTAGAGGAAGGAGGGGTGGTGTAGGTTTCCAATTGAGCTGTTGGGGAGCGTACATCAAACCCATGTGATAGGTATCGGCTAGAACAGGGTTGTTCGTCGTGCAATCCTCTCCCTTGTGAGTGCTTTAGAAGGCTTGCTTTTTTATTTGCGGTCTTCGGCGGCTTGCCGTCTACTCGGCGCCTTGTGTCCTCCAAGAAAACGTCTATACGAGCACCCGTACCCCTTTTCGTTGTCAGACAAACACATGGTTATAGTGGCAATGCCTACTCGGGTTGAACTTAGATACTGCAGTACAGCCACATGCCCGAGAGTGATCATGCACATGCCGCGACGTACTGGATGGCCAACGAAGAGCCCGCGTTCCAAGTTCCAAGTTCCCTACGGTCTGTTGGCTAGTTATCATGGATTAAGTGGATCATAATTATGGGGTGGCATGGCCACCTCAGCCCAGGGACGTGCATGTCAAATCGTGTTTCCATTAAAGTTATCTTGTGCCGCTGGCCAATCAGACCATAATTCCGAACTACTGTTCCCGTTTCCCTGCCCCGAAATGTGTAGTTAATGTGGGGGTGTATGGTGTCGACAGAAAGCTGGGCACCTGTCCCAGGTTCGTTTAATGTCGGGTGCCATACAATAGTAGTGTGGAGGTACGTTTCTGTTTATCAACTCCACCTGAACCTCGACCCCTCGCAGTGCCGCGGGGTAAAAAGCCTCGCCTCTACAAAGGGAGACCACTAACTACACGGGCGCGGCTGGCGCAGGTTGCCTCCCACCGGACCTCGATTGTTTGCCCTGTTCGCGGGCACCGCCGGTACTTAATTACAACAATTTATTTACGTGACCCCTCGAACCGTACTCTGTCATTATTTTCCTGCTGTGATATAATTCTGTATACGACACTCTCCTCTTTCAGAATGTAGTTTGAATTGAAACACCGCAAGTACCACAAACAGCCCCCCTACTTGATACGATGTACGATCTTGCAACCAATGCAAAAACGCAATCAGCAACCATAGAAAAACACCCCTTGAGAAAACTTATTCAACAAAACTGGCTACGCATCCAACACAAAGCGTCTCCATCAGTTTATTCACGAATCCAAAGCGTTCGTCTCTGGAAATAATCTCAAACCGTTGACACAAAAGAATCATCCTCAGAAAAGTATCCAACAAAAATTTGTGCTACATCAGAAAGGCGTCGGAACGAAAACGGACATTTCTGGAAAAAACAACTTCCAAAAGAGTTGACACCAAATCCTCAAACAAAACAAAAACTCAACTTCTTGACCAATCAAAACGAGAATTCGGAAAGCACAATGGCCCCAACCATTAATCGTCAAAACATGTCAAACCCTTCCTCCAATACCAAATCCTAAACAGCGCGCACCCGCTAATCGGTACCGTCGCTGTTGTCCAAGAAACGATAGAAAATATAAGCAAGCATCCACGCAAACAGCCCCCCTGTTGTCAGCTCCCAAAATTCACCCCGAGCTAATATCTCGATGTCAACAGTCCCCCCTGCTTTGCCGTTCACCTAAAACACAAATAGACAAGGCCAGAAAACGAACCAATTCGATTGCTGCTCACGCCCTCTAGAATCATGGTCATACATGACATCCCCCCCCATGATTTTCGATGCAAGAGCAGCAAAACATGAAAACACGTTACACTCATGGCATCAAACTCCGGAAAGTTCGTACCGTATGAAAACTGTATTTGCAACTGGAACTCCAAAAGCTACCCTGCTCCCTGAGCCACATGCCTTCACGCACGTCAAGCAACGCGCTATCATCCCATTTCTTGCGCGCGGCCAAAAACACACCGCAGAGAGCGACCGCTTAACTCAGGACCTAACATAAAAAAAAAAAACCAAAAGTATCGAAACACCCTAAGCGCAAAACGCGACTGAACGTACTCCCGCCAAAGAATAGGGAAATAATATGAAGCATTCAGCTGCAAGGTAAAACGCGACTGAAAACATACGAAGAACCAAGGAAAAAAATAAATAAAAACCCACCTGCTGCTTCCTATTCCACAGGTTGTGGCAATGCTTATCTTGTCGCAGCGAACATTTATTATCATGAAACCAAGTACAGAGAAAAAAAAAAAAAATCGCACACGCCGTGGCACACGTCTTTCTGCATCAAAGTGCACGGTGCGCTTGCAAGGAAAAACAGAACAAAAACTTAATAATAATACGAAGCCAAATGGCGATCTAAAACGTCCATGCCTGCTCACAAAACCGAACAAAGTCGGAAACGTTTCACATGATTTCCCACTTGGCTGGAACAAAGTGAGGCCGCCGCTGCCATCGCCGCCGATGTCGTTCCCCCGCCGCCACGACCGTCATGAGTTCCAGAGCCAACACGGCTGCCGGTAACGTCGCTGCTGCCGCCTCTACCACCGCCGCCGTTGTCGCCGCTGCCGCCGACGGGGCTCTGGCCAAAACCGCCGCTGCCGTCTTCTGCTGCCGTCGGAGCTCTGGCCGAAGCCACCACTCTCGTCGCTGCTCCTGCTGCCGCCGGTGTCGCGGCCGGAGCTCTGGCCGAAGCCACCACTCCCGTCGGGGCGGCCGCCGTTGCCGCCGTTGGAGCTGCCACTCCCGTTCCTGCCCCTATCGAAGGGGTACGCCACCCCTGGTACCGCCCCCCGTCTCCTCGCGCCACGCGAAGATGTCTTACCGGGGTCGAAGGGGTGCGTCGGTCCTCCACTCCAGGTTTCATCTAACCCCTCACCCCCGTTCCCATCACCGCCGCTTTCCTCGCTGCTGCTGCTGCTGCTGCTGCTGCAGCTCACTTCCTCCTCAGTCTTCCCGGGATCAAAAGGGTGCGTCGGGGCTCCACTCCAGGTTTAATGCAACCCCTCGTCGCCGCCCTTGGGGCCGTCTGGACACCCGACGCCAACGCGGCGACCGGGGACGCCGCTGCTGCTGTCGCCGCTGCCGTTACCCCCGTCACCGATGTTGCTACCGCCGCCGCTGCGGCCGCTGCTGCTGCTGCTGCTGCTGCTGCTGCTGCTGCTGCTGCTGCGGCCGCCGCTGCTCCGGTCATCCGTCTCTCCACCATACTTCTCCTCTCCATCCACACGCACCTCCAGCGTATAAAATCCTCCAGGGTCAAAAGGGTACGACGCGCCCCTCTCGAAACCGCAGATGCCGTCGTCTCCGCTGCTGCTGCAGGGCAGGGTCCCCGGGGCCATCGCGGCGACCGGGGACGACGCTGCTGCTGCCGCCGCTGCCGCCCCCCCCGCCGCCGACGCCGCTGCCACCGCTGCTACGTCCGTCGAGGTGCCCGGGGCCATCGCGGCGACCGGGGACGACGCTGCTGCTGCCGCTGCTGCCGCTCCCCCCGTCGCCGTCGCCGACGCCACCGCTGCTACGTCCGTCGAGGTGCCCGGGGCCATCGCGGCGACCGGGGACGACGCTTCTGCTGCCGCCGCTGCCGCCCCCCCCGTCGCCGTCGCCGACGCCACCGCTGCTACGTCCGTCGAGGTGCCCGGGGCCATCGCGGCGGCCGGGGACGACACGAAGTCGGTGCTGCTAGTGCGGTGGGTAGACGCGGCACTATGACCAACCCACCAGTCGGTACGCCCAGACGCCGACAGCAAAGTGGGGACAGGGGCCGGCGGATACGCTACAGGGTGACGGTGTTGGCAGAAAACGTGAAGAGCATTACGATCGGGGGGGGAACCTACCGGCTCTACGGTGCCGTACGAACCGGCATGACCATCCCCCCCTACTCCATCAACGCATTCACCCTCACCGCCACTGACTTGTGTATCCACGCCGGAAGCATCCCCCCACGCGCGGCCCTCCTGCTGTTGCAGCTGCTGCTGCGGCTCCTGCTGCTGGGGCACACCACCATAGCCGCTGCTGCCGGAACCCTGCCATGGCTGCACACCTCCGCTGGAAGCATCCTGATGTACCACGGCAAGGTGTTGCTGCGGAAGAGGCGCCGACACGGGCCAATGGTGCGCTATCGACCCGTCTACACAACTTGCCGAATACCCCGGCTCCGCGCTGTTGAGATGGGAGTGCTGGGGGAAAGGCTGCTGCGCGAAAGGCTGGTAAGGTGGGGGCATTACAGCGTTGAGGTGGGGTACCTGAGACGTGTTGGCCGCCGCGTTTTGGCGCGGCGGCTGCTGCAGATTGTTGGATGTGTTAAATTTGCAGTTGCGCGCCGTGTGGCCGGATTCACCACAAATAGAACACCTACCATAAAATCGCGGAGGAGCCTGGCAGATGATGGCCGTGTGCCCGACATGACCGCAGCGACCACACATGGGCACGGCGCACATCGGTGATCCCGGGGGAGTGGGGGACGCCTCCTGCGGCCACGCTGCGTTCCGCCCAGGGTCCCTGGGACCACCCGGAACGAATCCCATCGCCATTGCGGGAGTGAACTCCTGGGGCTGCTGCTGCTGCTGGGGCTGCTGCTGCTGAAACGACTGCTGCGGAAAATGCTGAGGGAATCTCCGTTGATACTGCTGCTGCGGCGCCTGCTGATGAAACGACTGTTGCGGCTGCTGCAGCTGCGGGCGATATCCCCCGTTGTACTCTCCTTGAGCTCCCCCTCCCCACCCCGGCTGCTGCTGTCCATCTCTACCCTGTTGTCTGCCTTGGGAAAACCCACCGGTCCTCCGCTGCGGACCACCACCGCCGCCGCCGCCGCCACCGCCGCCGCCGCCATTACCGTTGGGCCGTGAATTTCCGCCGAAACGGAGAGCGTGCGGATCGCTAGCCGGCGCGGCCGTCCGCTGCGCACGATCACCGAGATTTTTCTCAACGTGGTGGCTACGCACAAGAATCTCTAAGCTTCTGCGTGTGAGCGTGTGATCATGCATGAGCACGATCTTGACCTGTTCGTAGTCTGCCGAGAGGCTTCTACGTAAAGTCACAAGGACCTCACTTTCCGGGATTTCATAACCGTTGACAGCGCGAAGCGTATTCAGCACTTTGTTAAACCTCAGAAAGTAGTCTTGCGGGTCCTCGCCGATCTGCATCTTCATGTTAGCGAGAGACAACTTCAGGGCCTCCTTTTCAGAGCTACTCATCGGAAGACAAAACTCCTGGGCCGCCTCCCATGCCCCCGACACATTCCCTACAGCAAGAATTGTCGATTGAAATTTCGCCCCCTTCGTGGCTCGCCTCAAGTAATCGAAAGCACGCTCGTGATCACGCACACGCTTCTCACTGTGGAATCTGATGTTCTCGCTCCTTCCTGGATGTGTGTATGAGCCAGATGCGTTGGTCAGGACTCGCCGGCGGAGTGAGTGTGTGCCCAAGATCTTCGCCGGCGAGGAAGACCTCGAATATCGTCTTGAAGAGCGGGAAGTTGCCGTCGTACACTGGTGGCTTGCGGTCCCTGTACTGCTGTTGCACTGGACCATCTCGAAAAGAAGTAGCCGCTCCCCCGGCTCCAAAGGTGTCCGCCACCCCGGCTGCTCCACCCCTATAATACCCCGACGCGTACCCAGCGCCATCCACCCTATCTCTCGTAGCGTTCCCCGCTGAACTGCGCTCCCTTTCCTCCTCAAGTTTCCTCCGTAACTCCGCACTCTCGGCTTCCGCTTTCTTCGTTCTTTCTTCCAACAACTCTCTCTCGCTTTCCGTCATCGCTGTACCAACACCTGGCCTAGCTAGGCTCCACGATATCGTGTTAGTGCACTGCCGCCCTCAGCGGTCTGTGGTGTTGAGACTGGGGACTATGTTATCCCAGGAACAGCTGATAAAAAAGGACCATGTATCGTATATATTCGTCACGCAAGCCCCTCAGGCAAGCTGGTAATCGACACGCAAGCCCCTCAGGCAAGTGCCGGGAGCACACCGCCGTGTGCTCCCGGGGGCCCCGCAGTTGGGCCACAACCGCACACATACCCTCACACCCATACTTCCAATACGCGTATCCCCCACAGAGGATGCACAGATCGGACTCATATCCAAGTACCACAAACAACCGCCACACATTCAGTACACCCCACTTCGTATGCCTTGCTCAGCACTTACGACATAAGTTTGACTACTTTTGTACTCTCTCCCAGTTTGTTTTCAACTGTCGACGGTTTCGTCTGTAACCACTACCCCGCAGTCAGGCCCTCGACAAATTTACCCCACTGGCATCAACAGAATTCCTAATTAGGTGTTCGTCACAGATGTGTCTCGACGCCCAAATATAGGAGCCCAACCGATATTCAAGCAACTTTGCACGAAGCGTCAAAACTAAATGTTTGGCGGGGAGATAGACCAACAGGCTTATATATATGCCGGCCGATGGATGAAGCCACTGCACACGCCCACAACTCACTCTACTCGCCACCGCTAACGTTAACGGCGGACTTCTGTTCAGCAGCAGGGCGGGGACGACCGAGCGTGTTGTTCGGGGGTGGTGTGGACGAGAGCTATCAAAACTGCTGCTAGCTGCCGCCGCTGTTGCGGCGGTGTGGATGTCCAGGGCTTGCTGCATTGGCCAACGCTGGTAGCAAGAGGCACCACACTTAAAAAAATCGCCCCCGATAGGTCATGCGTGCGTATGGATATGGTTTGGCCGCCCTTGGTCAACATCCTGTTTACGTGTCACTGCTGTCCCTGTTTTTGGGGGTGCATGTGCGTGGGAATAAGATACATGTAAAAAAATCGTCCTACGGAGGACGACCACCAATTGGAGCCGACGGCGTCGAATTTTCGGTGCGTTGGTGTCGCACAAATAGCTTTCTGTGCAGCCGGCAGGAGGGAACTGGGTCCGACAGTCGGACCCGAGGCGTCCGATGACGTGTGTATGCGTTTGGCTGTCCTTCAGGCTCGTGTGCACTACCGCTGGTTGTATCGTGTGTTGTCAATGTGCGTGCGTCCCATTGTGCAGCTGCATATGCTGCTGCTACGCGTCGTATTTCGGGCGATTCCCGACCGGCGGCGTGGACACAAACAAAGCAACGGTCTGATCCCTACATAATGACACGCGCAATCGTATTATTATATGATCGTAGTAGAGCAGCAGAGCTCGGTACCAAAGTATACGCAGGCAGACGCGGTGCGACTTCGTTGCATATGGTAACCTCGGCATTAGCGTCCCACAACTATACTGCTGTAGCCTAACTGCCAAAGGGGTATTCAATCCTGTCCATCGTCCAATACGCCAGGGATGCACACTGGACTTGAATTGTCGGCAAGTACGTGGGCACCCCATCGTAGACTAGTTCAACGGAGTGTACACACCTGCCATTGTTTGCGAGGAAGACTTGGGACTTGGGCAGGCAACGACACAAGCCTCAAGTTAAGTACAAAAAATCGACAAACTAGCTTCCGCGCACACGCACACACCCTAGCGCTCCCTGTGTCACGCTTGTGTGCACCCAAACTGGTTCCCCATACAGTCGTCAACTAGTGCAGATTATGGTAACCGAAGTATCTGACCTCCACCGCGTCGTCCTGTCGTGGGTCGCCTACAGTTCGGGTGTCCATCGAGCCGACTGGCAAGGTACACGTATGACTGCTGACGTTCCCGGGTAACTCGTCCTCGTTGACATCACAGAGAGCCGCGCCATCGATCACACCCCCAGGCATAATTCCCTGCAGACAAGGTTGGTGCCTGGCGCTGTCCCCTGGTCGACCGCGCCTCACCTGAAACTCGGGCGGGAATGTACAGCACAGCAGTCAGGGAGGTGAGAGGTGTAAAGCAGGACGGGCAGCTGACAGGGGCCCCGACGTTTGCTACAAGAGGGGGCGTTTATGTAGGTTGGCACACGGGGAGTACATAGAAAAAAAAACGGTGGCGTCGCCGAATATACGTGCATCATTCCTGTTTCTGCGTGCATCAGGAGTGGGGTAGCCTCATATCTCGGCCCCAACGACTCACTCGGCCGCGCACACGCACACACGCTAGTGCTCCCTGTGTCACGCTTGTGTGCACCCAAACTGGTTCCCCATACAGTCGTCAACTAGTGCAGATTATGGTAACCGAAGTATCTGACCTCCACCGCGTCGTCCTGTCGTGGGTCGCCTACAGTTCGGGTGTCCATCGAGCCGACTGGCAAGGTACACGTATGACTGCTGACGTTCCCGGCTAACTCGTCCTCGTTGACATCACAGAGAGCCGCGCCATCGATCACAACCCCGCTCATAATTCCCTGCAGACAAGGTTGGTGCCTGGCGTTGTCCCCTGGTCGACCGAGCCTCACCTGAAACTCGGGAATGTACAGCACAGCAGTCAGGGAGGTGAGAGGTGTAAAGCAGGACGGGCAGCTGACAGGGGCCCCGACGTTTGCTACGGGAGGGCGTTTATGTAGGTTGACACACGGGGAGTACATAGAAAAAAAAAACGGTGGCGTGTGGGCCGAATATACGTGCATCATTCCTGTTTCTGCGTGCATCAGGAGTGGGGTATCCTCTGCTTAGATCCCGTGCCCTCTCTCTATCTGTCGCTCTACAGCCCATTGGTAAGACGGACGCGTGCGTGTCGACGCACACCACAGAACATCATGGACGGTCGTCTTGGTGCTTCGCCGCTGATTTCGCTGACGTCGACCTTTCCTAAGTTGCTCCAAGATGGGGGAAGCGATCGCGAGTCGAGGGAGCTCATGTTCTACAAGAGGCAAAAGGTGATTAGACTAGTCCCGATCCCGACTAGTCTACTGCTGCTGTGTATGCATGTGGGGTGGTTTTCGTATACATGCGGCTGATGCTGTTGATGCATCCTCTCGCCAGCCCCAACACTAATCGAACACACATATATAGGTGTCATACATGTTGTTCAAAAACCCCCGAATGCAACAAGTCTACACAACAGCAGTTTATTTTAGGACATGTAGCATATTTATTTTCGCGGCCGATTGCGTGACGATCTTCTGGCCTCAAACACCCATCCTTCCAAGTTAGAGGCTAGCATGTTTCAGAACCCCGGCAGTCCCCCATGTTCCACACCAACCATTTATTTATAGCCTAGTGTGACGCACACGCTTCAACGTCCCGTGCTTCCCGCAGACTCGTTTATATACAGCTGCTGCGCAGGGGTACTTCATTTTGGTCGAGGAATGAGAAGATGATTGCGTCTGGTATGTGTAGTCTATGCCTTAGACGATCATACAGGGAGCAAGCACGAGAATGCGTGTGTGCGTTCTGTTCGCTTTTTTAACAACTGGGTTGAATAAATACGACTGTGTAACGTGCTCTCGGGACATCCACACCGACCGGTAGAAGAGGTACGCAGAAACCTGCAACCATTGATTGGTCTAATAATAACGTACTTCGTATACGATCTCGGCCCCTCTCTGTGCACCCCTCCCTGTATGTATACTTGTAACAGCACGCGTCTCGCGCATCATTGATAGATAGATAGGTAGATCGAACTCATACAGCAGTAGTAGTAACAAGAACGAAAGGCAGACAGATCTCGTGAGGCTACTGTAATGGTATTTGACCTCTTCATTCAGAATCAATCACCTTCAGCAGTGTGGAACTCTCTTGTCCGACCACAGTAGTAGCAGGTTGTTGTTGCTTTCCCTTGTTCTCTTTCTCTTGATTAACGCTTCCCAAGACAACTCACAATATCCCACGCACACACGATCATAGATCGTCTGCACGCACACACTGGACAGAAGGGCACATGCCTCGGCCTATACCCAGAATCTTGCATGACATCACGTCTTACCATCCGACGGCGCCAAATAACCATGATCAACCACGATCACATGTCTGACCTCCAAATACCATAACAATATATCCCACCCTGAGTGAACGTAGATGCAGATACAGAAGCAAAACTCGGAGGGACTCTAGTCAATCAAGAGGATTGCGGGATGGATCGAAGATACGACAACTCAAACCCCTCACCCGCACCTCTCCGTTAACCAAACAAAAGCAGAAGCGAAACCAAGAAAGAAGAAAACAAAGAAGCCCGGGCGGCAAAGTCGGCGGATAAAATAGGAAAAAGGCACATGTGTGCGAAATATAACCAAAACATACGGACAGAAAAGGCCATAACACGAAGTTACAAAATCGTGAAGGGACAATCACAAACGATCTCGCACGAAAGAACAGATCGAAAACGCAATCAAGTAAGCCTAAACCTTGCGAGAAGGGGGGCTACGATGCGATCGAGGTCTGAAATGAAAACAGAAAAAAATGTGAAACGAAAACCAAGCATGCAAAAGCTAAAACGACATGGAAAACAGTTAAGGGTTGACCAAAATCGAGAAAAGTATGGAATAAGGGGGGTTCCGGGGAGCGTACACAACGGCCAAATAAGAGGACAGGAACCAACGCCAAAAACAAACGTTCGCATGTCACGACACAACGTGGTTGCGTCCGGGGTGGAGCGAGTAGAACAATCCTACTTGTACGTCAAGGCCAATTGCACGCAGAAAAATGATCAAGAAAGTAGCACGGTGTAATACGTTGGCCGTGGCATGCAATAGACGCACCGGCGGAACGTTGGGCCATAAAAGATGCAAAGCAAACCATAGGGGGGAAAGTCAAACGACGCAGCACCAAGTTTTGGGATCACCGCAACTAATGACGAACCTAGGTCGCACTAAAAAAAATAGGGAAAGGGGAGCGACAAATTTAGACCACCGACCGAGAAGTGACAAACGGGGGCGATAAAGTACGCAACACAAAAAAAAAAAGAGACAGTCTCAAAGGGATTGAGAGGGCGAGCGGAAAGCATAAAGGAGCACTAGCCTGTCTCGAAATAGGGCGAGCTAGAAACATACAGAAGCTATAGCCAGTCTCAAAAATAGATCGAGAGGGCGAGCGACTACTCATTAGCTTTAACTTCACAATAATAATGAGAAGAAGAGTCTAGGATGGATGTATGCGGTGTTCTTGTCGTGACCACGGGAGAAGGTGTTTGATCGGGAAGAAAGGCCCATCCATCCTATTGGCCGTACCAATACGTATTTTGTACATGCGCGGAGTAGATGATGATGGCAACGTCGCAACCACTCAAAATTTATCCACCGTTCCCGCCTCGGGGATGCCTTCACTCGTAACAGGCCACGGGGTACCTGGAACAATACCTCGCTCAACTTGGCATCGGAGAAAGTAGGGGCCACATGCACAACCAAACTTCTCGCGTGGCGACCTACTGGATGTCACGCGTTTTCGACGGCGCGTCCATCGTCAGCGGGACCTCCGTTAATGTCGCAAAAACATGGTGAGAAATGCTCAGTCTGTCTAATCTTTGCATTTAGTCGTGCGTGGGATGGGTTCGTTCATGTTACGTGCGTGCACGTCGTGGTCTTTGTTTACGCTCGCCCAATAAACGTACGGTCTTTGCACTAGCACAGAAGCGGTCTCGCAAGGGGTGTGTGTGGTGTATCTGGCGGCGTGTGAATCGTTGCGAAAGGAAGGTACGAGAAGGGCTGTGCATTGTTGGTAGCGTGCCAGATATGAAGGATGGGTAGTAAACACAGGAAATCCCAACAAAAGCCAAGGCCCCTAAAAAAAAGCTAACACTCCCTTCATCGACCCCGTACACAACGAACAGTAGCCGTGGACAATTCCGCCGCACGCGCGTTGTTCGTGCACCATACCTCTACAAGCGCGTCTTCGTCCATCAGGCCAGTCCGTACTCGTGTCATTCCACCGACCATTGATTTGAAATAATTGCCGCATTCACGCAACCAAATAGACAATCAACAGACCAACATGTTTGACGAATGCAGCTACCCTTTCGTCGTGTGAACAGGGGATATCCACGGAAACCCATCAACGACGCGTTGGAAAGGGCGGGCCTAGAGTGGCCGGCTAAGATCCCGTTCGATGAACGGAAACCGGGTTGCCGCATAGTGCCTCTTCCTCCTGCTGCCCGGGATTTGCGTATCGCAGGTACATCAAACGCGATAACTTTGCTTGTAATAGTGGTCGTTTTCCTGTGTCACTAAACTGTTCCTATTTTACAAGGGTACTTACAGTAGGCATACAGTGGAAACGAAAGACGACCCATGGTCCGTGGTCGCTTCGGTTTGCTTCGCGTCAGGCGGGTTATCCTTGTTTGTTCATGGGCAACAATGTGTTTGTAGGTCGACGCGCAATTCTTCGTGCTGACAAGCGTGGGTTACATGTGACCTAGAGATGAATAAGTTTTCGCCGCATAGTTCGCATAGCATGTATGAACCTGGCGGTGACTTTTTTACCGATGTGTCCAAGGTATACTCGCCACCGAGGACCAGCGCACCTACCTGCCGCGGGCCGCAGATGCCGTAACTACGTCCGGCGGAAATTAGACAATTTCCATACCTGTATATCTACTCGTTCGAAGCCTCACCCATAACCCATTCCTGCATCAGAATACCCACCACGCCGCTGCCCCAACCTACATCCAACCCCATACATTATTCGGGCTGCACTCACTGATCGGCGACGCAGAGTGTCCACCAACAGTGTATGCGGTGCCCCTTCTAGAACCTCCGTCCCAAGGCCCGCGTTCGAGCTGGCATGCGTCTGGCAGTCTCCTTACAATCCGTTATCTGGGTCTTATTTAACACGACGTAGACCGCTGGCCGTACCGGTCAGGAACCGGCTGCACGTTCGGCGCCTCAAAACTCACCCTTAATTGCCTATGACGGAGCAGCTCACCTTCTCTATCCCTCCCTCTCTCTCTCTCTGGTATCCTACGCTGCCGCTTTCCGCTAAGACTACACCCCTCCAGGACGGATCCGTAGCACCTTCGAACAGTGCTCGAGATCGCCCTCTTTCAGCTCGACGAGTCCGACACGTCATGGTACATCTCGACCGGGCAGCTGCAACTCGTGTCCTTCGACGTTGCCTCATTGGTGAGGGCACACCCGGTTGCGAATGTCGTCGTCGACAACACCAACACCATCGATCCCCTGTACAGGAGTGAGCCTTTCGGACCTACTAAGTTCATGGGCAGAAGGGGGAACTTGGAGGAAGTGGAGCCGCGTCTGTTGGACCTGCTTCCGTTGTCAGGGATTAACCTCGAATGGCAGGACGATTCATTTGCGAGCGACATAATTCCCTTGCAGGATAACCTGCGAGGTGTGAGGGTGCTCTCGCTCGTGGGAGACATCCACGGCACGGCTAACTGCAAATTTTCGGAGATTCAATTTCCAATCGGTTTGCTAGTCGTTCGTTTCGGCGGAATTTTCGACCACTCCCTCGACGATGTGGTTTGGCCGGAAACCGTCGAGGAGATGTCATTCGTAGGTGGTTCGATAAGGGGCTACGACAAGCCACTAGACTACGTCACTTGGC